AACCACCAGAGGCGAGCATGCAGCCACAAAGCTTCTAATTTTTATTAAAATAAAGTGTAACCTTTTATATTCCCTCGCTCCGTTCCCATAAGGAATGGCTTGATGCAGGAGCTTGCTAATGTCGGATTGGTGTTACAACATACACTGAGGCAAAAAACACCCAAACCAGACAAATCCCACCTTCAATACACCAGCTTTTTGATCCCTTCCTGGCAGGGGGAGAATACAGAGGGCGACACTGGGTGGCTTTGATACAAACGGGGGCGTAGGTACAAGAGGCTGTTGTGCTCCATCTTCCTCCATCCCCTGAGCGCATCCCACCCATAGGAGCACTGAGAGTCCCCCCAGTGCCCTGACTGGGACCAGCTACACAGCTGCGCTAGGGGGCGCGGCCGGAGAGCTCACAGGGCTGGCGCAGATGCCACCGTATGATTCATTTTCCCTTTAAATTGCCTTAGATCTTTTGAGAATGAGGAAGAAGAGCCAGAACAGTAATTCTAATTTTTAGATGTCAGGATTGTCTTTTTCTTAGTAGGAAAAAAAAACCCAAACCACCCAACCAAAAAAAGACTGCTCCTGACATGGAGCACAGCTGCTACGCTGCAGCTCGGGCCAGAGCCCACTGCAGACCTCCATCTCATTGACTTCGCCGGGTTTGGACGATTCCTGTTTGCCCATGACTGCAGTCAACGCAGCCACCACCACTGAGGAAAAGTATGCAGAGCTGGGGAGTTGCTGCTGGTTTAACATCACCCTCCCCTTCTTGGGCTGGTTTAGTCAGCTGTTACACACATTTTTTGATACATGATGGAAATAGTTAACAGAAAGTGGAGGAATGCCATGATTTGGAAAGATACTTGTTATATTCAACTGTTAGCAAAGGAAAAAAAAACCAAGTTAACATTCAGTACCATAGTCGGGAAGATTGTCTATGTCTATTGCTGTCCTGGGGCTAAGATCCAAAGCTCAGGGTGGTAAATGCGCCGATGTACTACCTACTGCGTACTGCACTAGCGCACGAGGCAGAGCCGGCAGCCGGGGCTGCCCCAGCTGTCACCAGGCAAACCCAAGCCCCTGGGAAAGCCAAAGGGCTGTTTCTGCCCTTCTCTTGCCCCCGCCCCTTGGCTGGTCTGAGGTTTACCTTCCTCGGCAGAGCTGCTGAAACACCCCACCACGCGTGGGGGGGTCGCAGCACGGGGAGCCCCTCGCTCGGCCCCTCGCATGCGGCGTGTCACCGAGCAGGGAGGAGGTGGCTGCTCCGCCGAGCGGCGCCCCGGCACAGGCTGTGCTTCACGGTACGTCCTCCTGGCTGGCTACATTCAATGGCTGCTCCTTGGGGGTTGCCAAAAATACTTGTGCAATAGAAAAGCCCTACGGAAAGCGATGGAGCAGAGCTGTACTTGGCAGAGTTTCTAGGGGCGCTTTTCAGAGGGCCCTTAAGATCAAAAGCTGGTCTTTAGAGATGACCGTGCGTGTGTCTGCCCCTCATTTGTGTAGTTCAGGAGGTTCTTCTTGCAGAACTGACCCCCCCTTGTCCACTGCTTCTTGTGCTGCCAACCAACATACATCTTCAGCTGTTCAGAGTCAACAACTTCCCTTGGCTTCCCGGTCCAGCGCGGGCTGACCCTCCTGCCCAGCAGCATCGGGTGGGAATGTGACACCCAGCCCCTGTGTGCCGTCGCCACCCGGGAGTTTGGTGCTCTCTTCCAGCTGGCGCATCTGCCTGCTTGCTGCTCGTTGCTGCTGCTCCTTCAGCTCACTGTAGGAACGGGAGAAGGTGTGAAAGATGGACGTGACTGGGAAAGCCATCAGCAAAATCCCACTCAAGATACTGCTCAGGGCTACCACCTGTCCAGGGATGCTACGAGGCACCATGTCCCCGTAGCCAACAGTTGTCATGGAGATCACAGCCCACCAGTAACTGGTGGGGACGCTTGTGAATTCCTGCTTCGCTCCCAGTTCGCTCTCAGCCAAGTACACCAGCGGCGAGAAGAGGGCCATGGCGACACAGAGGAAGAGCAGGAGGAGCCCGAACTCCCTGGTGCAGCGGCGCACGGTGAGCCCCAGCGTCTGCAGCCCCAGCGAGTGCCGCGCCAACCGCATCACGTACAGGATGCGCAGCGCCCGCAGGAAGCGCAGCACCAGGCCCACTCGTTCCAGGTACTTGTTCCCAGCTGCCCCACTGGGCTTGCTGCTGTTTTTCGTGGAGACCATATCCACAATGAGAGAGACGTAGAAAGGCAGGATGGCCAGGATGTCGATGATGTTGAGAGGGGTTTTCAGGAAAGCGCACTTGTTCTCTGCCTGGATGGATCGCAGCAGGAACTCAAACGAGAACCACGCCACGCACACCGTCTCCAGCACGAAGATGTCATAGCACTTCTGGGAGCATTCGCCCTGGGGAGAAGAGGAGCGAGAAACACAGAAAAGGGAGAAGGAAAAGATTTAGCCAGGGGAGTGAACCAAAGACAGCAGCGGTGGCAGTTCTTAAAGGAAAACACCATGTGAAATGGATACGAATGGCGAGGTACCAACGTAAAACCAGTGCTGCTGAGAGCAGCTGGAATGGGTAACTAAAACCAGAGCTACCAGCTACGTGTTTGGCTGCAGGACAGGTCAGCGATGCTCAGGAGTATCCCAAGGGTGCCAAGAATTTGGTGTGACCGTATCAGCTGTTGGCCAGCCAGCCCACTGCTGAAAGGCCAGTGGCTCACAGCTCATTTCTAACCAAGCCTTTAACACCCTTTAGAAAGGATTAGTAGAGGAATCATGGATTTTAATAATGGTTGATCCCTCCCTCCCTTCCTGATCAATAAATTGCTTATAAAAGTCTCATAAACACCTACAGCACTCTATTTATGCGCTTGGAGTCATCTATATTATTTACAGAATATAGAATATTCTTTATATGCCAGTAAACATTTATTAACACACTAGCCCTATGGTGAAAAGCTTATTTAAAGTATTGATAAATGTAGGTATCTCCAAAAGAACAAGTACCACAGGAACAGAGGGGGGAGAGAAGCATTTGTAACAACCAATGACCACGATGGCCTCCTCAAGCGTTCTGAGGTGCTCCTCCACGCACGCTCCCTCAGTGGTTCTGTAACCCGCCCGCCTCGGCGCACTGGAACCGCAATAAGCCCTGCCGCTGGTGACGGCTGCTCTTCGATGGCTAATTCAACAGCACAAATGCTACGGCAATTCTCTGCTACTCGCTGTTAGTAACTGCTGCTGAATAATAATCCGCTGCTCAAAATAAACTGATTTTGATGTGGACAATTACAGGGCTAGTGCTGTTTCCTCTGTAAATGCTCACAGAAAGGTGTTAATCCTCTGCGGGCTTTGAGCGGAAGGCAAGTGTATATTTATTTAAGGGAAGTGTATATTTATTTAAGGGAAGTGTATATTTATTCGAAAAGCCGGTTTTTCTCTGAACAGTTCATGAAAACTCTTGTAAGCATGTAGAAGTCCATCCATGCTAGTGGGGTGCGTGACTCTCACTGGATGCATTAGGTATTAGGTACCAATGTAAAACCTCGTTTTGCTCGCCTATGCTGAATTACAGCAATAAAATACCACTCAGGAGTGGTGAGGCTGGGTCAAGCTGGTCCCCATTTCACCACTGGAGAAGCTGAGAGCCTGGCACATCGAGAAACAGTTCTGCCCACATACTCCCCACGGGTGTCATTTGCCAGGCAGAGCCGAGGAAGTTTTTGCTGCACAGCACCACATCCTAACTTCATCGCTCTCTGCTTGTGCGCAGTTCTGCCCTGTTGTGAAAGAAAACAGCAAAGGAGTGATGAGACTTTTGCCCTCGTCACTAACCACAGCACTCCCCAAAATGGGGGGGAGTGGCTGGACACAGGTTTCAAGGGCTGCTGCGCTGCCAGCAGCCAGAGCAGTGTCATCGCACCGAGTATAAACCCTGGTGGCAACCAAAATGCTGAGTCTCTTAAGAAGAGACTGAGACAATGACCGAAGAGATGTCTATAGGAAAAAAAAATAAAATGAAAAGGAATCCTCAGAGCTGGCGTTTATGAGCCTTGTGTTAAACAGGGTGAATGGCTGTAGTGCCTCGTGTTTATAGATTTTTTTTGTATTCCACTTTCACTTGGCATATGATGTTGCTCCCACTGTTTCCCAGGGGGTCATGCTGATATGGAGAGAAGAATGACTTGTCCCGGTGAAATTGCTGTCAAGATTTCAAGCATATTGCAGGGAGGAAGGATAATCTTGTTCTACTAGTCTAAAAGTGGCTCAGAGAGCCTGACTTTAACTTCCTAATTTTGATAGGTGTGAAGACTAGAAAAGCTTAATTTACATCTGCCTCAGCAAACTAATTTGGTCATATATAAATATTTTTATCACGGTCATAACACATAGGACAAGACATTTTGGTTTTAGGTGCTTCGCTCCTGTCGCAGCCTAATCAAGCTGTCAGGCGCTCCCATCAGCTACAGAACCAAGATGCTTTCACGCCACCGCCCAAGTCCGGCTCTGTGGGCCAGAGCCAAAGCTCAGGAAGTCAGCGGAAGGACTCTGCCTGTGCCACTGAAACTTCCCACCCTATTACCAAAAGCCATCAGATCGACGCTGCCCCAGAGCCCTGCTGCCTGGGACTCTCTCGTCAGGGCATGCTTGATCTCACACCCAAGGCTGCAGGTGATCTGCAGCCCCCAGGGCTATCCTTGCACGCGCACAAAAGCATCAGTTTGAGACGAGAGGAAGACAACCCGCAGAAGAACAGCTATCGCTTGAGCAAAGCAAGAAGGAAAAAACACCCCAATGTGCAAATCTGTATTTTCTGAAGGGTACATCACTACCAGGACCAGCCTGCAGGGAAACCAGGGTGCAGCTTGCCTTGAGAGACCTGCCTGGCGGGAAGCGTTCTGGATTCCGATGTGCACGTACATAACCTTTGTGCCACTAGAAGTTTAAGGAAAGTCAGTGAAGCCTGTGGAGAATTTAGCCTTGGAGTAGACCTACAAAGACACGGAGGCGTTTAGTAGCTAATTTGACATTTAATTTCCCCAGCCCTCTCTATGCAGTGTGTAAGGAAAGGAAACTCCACACTCCTTCTGCGTATGAGTTGTGGTGTGGGAGCAAACAGGAGTGAAAATTGCTCCTCGTGAACGGACTGCCAGAGGAGATGGCTTTTGGAAGCCTCCATCTGCTCTCCCACACTCTGACATGTTCATCCTGAGTAGGTTCACGAACCTACAGCTTTGCTGTTCGGGCCGCCGAACCTCCTGCAGACCCCCAGCGAAAACGCGAGCGCAGGAGCAGCCTGGCCCCCTTCGCTCAGCCGGGCACAGAGCCTTGGCCGTTCCCGAAGCTCGGGTCAGCCCACGCGGCAGAACCCACCCGGCATCCCTGCCCAGCGCTGCAAGGAGGCGCTGAAACGTGCTCCATCCAGGGCTGCTGCCGGGCTCTGGCTTTTCTCTGCTCGCCCCACTGTCCCCAGCTGACAGCTAACACCGTGAATGCCGAAGTGTTTATTTCCAGCAGAATGAAGCGATCATGCTCTGCTACACAGAGTTCATTTTAATGGGATGAAACAATCCCCTCTTTTAGCTAATGCACAATTATTTTCGGCAAAGTGCTAGTCTTCCTCAGTGTTGTTATTAACCTATGGCAATCCGAACAAGGCAGGCTCTGTCCGAAGGCTGTCCTGTGAACAAGAGGGTCTGAACAGGCTTTCAGAAAACGGACCTGTATGTCAATTAACCTGCCAGAGGCTGTTTTTTCACTAATTAAATGTATTGCTGTCCCCTGGACCATGTTTCAGTATCATCTAGGTATGACCTATGATTATCCTCACATGAAATCAAAAACAGCAACAGCAAAAACGTGTTTCATGCTCTTTGCACTTTGCTTCTTTCAGCTGCAGCTGCTTTTCCTTGCAGTTTTTTCCCCTTGATTACAATATTGTGAAAAGATAAAAAAGGCAATTTTTCTCTTTCTAAAACTTGTAGCTATGTATTCGAGTCCAACCGGATGCTGTAGCTCGGCTTAGGGTTTTGAGGTTTTTCCATTCAAGAAAACAAAAATGTAAAGACAGACACACACAGCGATGGAAGAAAGCAATCAAGAATTAATCAGCCATCAGAATAAGAGAAAAACAAGTCCTAACAGAATAGGATAGCATCCTGCCCAAAATAGGTCTGTATCAAATCTGTGTGCTCTCAAAAAAGATCAAGCTATACCAACTCATGGCCATAAACACGCACATTAACAACTACTACACACTGCTTTTTACTTTTTGTCACCGAAATAGCTAGCTCTCGTACTAGCCAACCTTCCTGCATCTTGTAATCTCATGGATACACTTTTATGATTACATTTTTCATTCCTAGCTTTATGAAGCTGGGACACAGGAAAACTTTGTTTTTCATAACAATTTCATTTATTTTTGTCTTTTAGCGGTCTAAACAAAAAATAGCATGAATGGCAATCACAAAGGACACCCCCATTGCACTTTTCTAGTATTAAAACACTAACACTCTTTTTTTTTTTTTTTAATGTGTATATAACTGTGCAATTAAATAAACAGTATCTTGGGCTTTTGATTATAAAAAGCAGTGGTATAATAAAAATATATGGAGGCAGTTGTTCTTTACAGGATGTACATGTTTGTTTATGTCTGTACATGTGTTTCCTTCAAATAGCAAGTAGGGTTTTTTTTCCTGTGTAGAAATTACTTGAGTATGGGGAAATGTTTGCAGTTGCACAGGATTTTGCGGCCATATACTAAAGTCAGCTCAGGGCACAAGAAAAGAAAAGAAGGAAGGTCTCAGTGAGTAACTCTATGCAGTCCAATTAAAGTAAGTCTCCTTCACCAGGATTTATTGAAATTTGCTGTCAAAAAGCCAACCGCAGTATCTTTCTTCTGGAGAAACATTTTCTTTGCCAAAGCTTCCTTTGGCAAAAGCAGAATTACAAAAAGAAAAGCTGGTGTCACTGGAGTTCACATCCAGCTGTACTCACTGCTCTGGAAGGGCTGTCTAAAATCCGCAGGCGTCTTTTAGAGCGCTTTGGTGTGGCTTGTGGGGTCCCTTTCACTGGCACTTCCCTGTACTGCACCTCAAAAAAATTCTCCACTGTGTGTTGTGTGACTTCTTAGCCCTGCCTTTGTCCTCTGGCCTTCTGAGAAGAAATTCTGACTCCCCTCTACACTCTCGCAGGCTTTGGTGCCACCTCCCCCCTCTGGCATTAGAAGATGTCAAAAGCCAGATCACCTCTAACTGCCCCAGTTCCTTTGTTGCTCTGCACAGGCATTTTTGTACGGTCAGCAGCTCCACAGCACTTTCAAGGCAGACATTTCAATGCTGCCCACTTTCCCCCTACAGTGAAGTTTCCCTCCCTGTCAAACGTATATGTTAAAAAAGAAAACA